ACTCATAGTTCAGTTCTGATAATTCATATGTTATTAAATAATAATAACTAACTTCGAATCCGAATTGTACGTTCTTCCATCATTTCAATTCAAAGTAAACCTAGATTGGTACATGCAATTATTTGAAGAAATCAATTAATGTGCTGAAATGATTATGCTGCACCTGCACGATTAAGAGTAGAGTATTTCTGCAACTCCCCTTGAATTGCCTTTTGAAGCCATATTTCTGCATCTTGCATCATCTCCGGGCTAAGTCTCACCATGAGAATGCAAAATTCAGTTTGATTGAGTGCTCCATCTCCATCAAGGTCTCCTTCTTTCACCATCGCCTCCGCATCTTCTCGACTCATCTCTTCCAAACCCAACACTGCTGAATTCTTCAGCAGACTCGACGACGTAATCAACCCGTTTTTGGGGTCTGCCAAAAGCCGAAATCCTCCACAAAGTTCATCCACAAAGGTGTCCACATCTAGCTTCTCTGCCATTACTGGCAACAAGTCTTCATATTCGCTTCCTTCAGGTTTGGGTTCCATTCTCTACTCGACGTGGGATTTTATTGAAAAGCAAGAACAATAACAAGATTTATAGAATTGAGATCAATTCAAAAGAAACTTGTACTTGGATATGCCTACTATCAAGTTGTCTGGCACCTAATCTTGGAGACTCATATAGCAGTTTCGGGGAAGGTTCGTAATGGGTGGAATAACGGAAGCTTTGTGTCATGGCCCGACATTTGTCATGACTCCTGAAGTAGTTTGCTTAATTTGTCCGGAAAGCATCTTTCTATGAAGCTTCCATCGATGTTTCTGTCTCTTTCAAATAATCTTTTCTTAACGGAAATGAGTCATTTCAGCCACCAAACATGNGCATCTTTCTATGAAGCTTCCTTCGCTGTTTCTGTCTCTTTCAAATAATCTTTTCTTAACGGTAATGGGTCATTTCAGACAACAGACATGCAAAATTTAAACTTATTTTATGTCCAGTATTTCGTATTTAATAAAAAAAAAAAAACTACACAATATTTTTTACATTGAGGGTGAACTACTGTAAATATTAAGGCGGGGTTTTCTAACCTTTCACGTAATGTGGTTATGGGTTTTCAATATTCGAAAGTGAGCTATTAGCATTGGCATATCTAAGGGTGCGGTGTGGTCAAGTGTTCCCACTAGATTTGTAAATTTGAAAAAAAAAAAAAGAAGAGTATAATATGCTAATATATTCCTGCAAAAAAATAATTTGACAGTAAAGTGCCTCCATTTCAGTTTGAAAGTTTGAGAAAAAATTTTAGCCTCTGTTTAGCCAGCATTATTCCCAAAATGAAAATGAGAAATAATGTCGTTGAACACCAAAATCAAGGATTGTGTGAGGGGAAAGTCAAAAATAATCAACACGTGGGGCCCCCTCAACGGTACAAATTCTTCTAAAGATGAAGAAATAATGCAGGCCAAACAGGGGCTTAGTTAAAATTTGAACCAATTGAGAAAATTTTCTGATTTTAACGTGGTTTCAATCACTTAGAAACCCAAATTTATCAGTTTAAATAGATTACGATTCTAAAATTAAAGGTTGAAAATCGATAATCGCTCTAAGTGAAAGGCTAAAGAGTTTCATCGTGTTGTTTATTAATATTCACGAAATCAGGATGAAGG